AATTGTGGCAAAAAATTCTTTTCACAACAGTATTTAATTCAACACAAACGCATTCATTCGGGAGAAAAACCATTTGTTTGTCATTTCAATGATTGTAATAAATGTTTTTCTCAGAAATCTAATCTCAAAGAACACATGAAAATTCATATGAATATAAAAAGCCATAAATGTATTAACTATAACTGTAATCAACGGTTTGTCACAACTTCTGCGATGGAAACACATTTAAATCGCAAACATATCGGAGGAAAACATATCAAAAGTAAACCAATTATTGAAAGTTGTAAAGAAATATAACAATAAAAATATATTCTAATATATATTGATATTTATAAATTATAAAATCTAAAAATAATATTTACCGGTATATTTTGCACAATATAAAGTATTAAAATGTGCTATAATTAATTTTATAAAATAATACTGTACTTTTAAATTAAATAAAATTTTATTAAATTAAAAAAGATTAAAACAATTTTAAGCACTTATTAAACATTAATAAACACATAAAAATCAATGCTTTTTATCCCTTTTATGATCGACCAAAGCGTTGGATGCGCCGAACCCTTTGCCGCACTTCTCGCAGGTCATCGACTTCGGCGGTAACATCGAGTGGACACTCTTCTGGTGTCGCATCAACTTCTTTGCGCCGACAAACAGTGTGTCGCACATATGGCAGGCGTACGGCCGGTACGAGTGGACAGACACCCGATGATTACGGACGCAATCATCGTTTGCCAGCCATACGTGACAGTCCGGGCATTTTATGTTCTTAGCCCGGGGGCCGGCATGTCTGCGGCGCTTATGTTTGCCGCCCACTTTCGGTCGCCACCGCTGGCGGTGGACGCGCGCCATGTGTTTGGCGAACCATACGGCCGACGTGTACCGCATCGGACACTGTTTGCACCAAAACTTTATCGGTCGACGTTTGCGAACCCCTTTTTTGGCCGGTTTGCGGCCAACTCTTGTGCTCTTTAAGACCTGTTTTATCGCTTTGCGCACCCAATCGGACGGTTTGGGTCTCGGGTGATGTCTGACCATATGGTATAAGCGCGTAAACCGATTGGCAAACACTTCACCACACTTTGGGCATCGGCTGCACGTAAGCTTATGGTCCGTCCATTGGTCTACGGTATCAAACGATTGCGTGCATCGACCGCACGGATGCGCCCGATTAGTAACCACTTCATGTGTCGCCGCCGGTGTCACTGTTTGGCCCTCTGTCTTGATATCGACACTGACTGTCACTTTAGTGTCCGCTAACGGCTGGCACTGGCCGTCAGCCGTATGTCCGGTCAATGATTGGCTGCAATTGTCGCGCAGATATTCAGCCACTATTTCAAGACCACTGTTTTCATCACTACTCGTATCGGAAATCCTAATTGTGGTTAAAAATTATAATGCGATTAATGTGTTGTTTATTAACTCATAATTCATAACAATTACTCAATATATTTCTCATCTGATTTGTGATCAGTTATCGGCGGCTTTGTATCGACGGTGTGTTTTGACTCCGGTTTGACATCTAGTACTTTGAGATCAGGTTTCAGATCACTATAGATATAGAGTAAACACACAATCAATTGATGGCTTAAATCAATGGCTATTATATACCTGTTGTTTGAATCAGTGTTTGTAGTGATTGAGTGCACCGGTAGAGCACTTGTGGGCTCTACCGGTCTATCATCAGGAACTGTAGTGTCCATAGGAAGGGTCGCCTGTAGTGTCTCTGCGGCCGCCGAGTGAACTATCAGTGGCTTTATATCAGCCGTGAATTTGGTCTCCGGTATTGTGTTTCTTACTGTGAGATGAGAGTCCAAAGAACTAGATTTTAAGTAAAGTTAATTAATTAATGGCTTAAATCAATGGATAGTATACTTGTTTGGATGAGAAGTAGAGACTGACTGCACCGGTAGGGCAGTCGTAGGCCCTACAGCTCTATCATCAGCTACTGTAGTGTCCATAGGAATGGGCGCCTGTAATGTCTCCGCCGGTGTCACTGTTTCGCCCTCTGTTTTGATATCGCAACTGACGACCACTTTAGTGTCCGCTAATGGCTGGCACTGGCCGTCAGTCGTATGTCTGGTCAATGAATGGCCGCAATTGTCGCGCCGATACTCAGCCACTATTTCAAGTCCACTGTTTTCATCACTACTCGTATCGCAAATCCTAATTGTGGTTAAAAATTATAATACAATTAATGTGTCATTTATTAACGCATTATTCATAACAATTACTCAATATATTTCTGGTCTAATGTGTGTCCAGTGGTCAGCGGCAGTGGTTTTGCATCGACGGTGTGTTTGGGTTCCGGTTTGACATCTAGTACTTTGAGCTCAGGTTTCAGATCACTATAGATATAGAGTAAATACACAATCAATTAATTGCATAAATCAATGGCTATTATATACCTGTTGTTTGGATGAGTAGTGGCAGTGATTGACTGCACCGGTAGGCCAGTCGTGGGCTCTATGGGTCTATCATCAGCGACTGTAGTGTCCATACCTGGCGGAACATTAACTTCAATCCCAACGGGCGTCTGAAGTACACGAGTGGCCGCCGAGTGGACAGTCAGCCGCTGTTTGTCGAGCGCTTGTTTGCTGTGATATGATTGGGTGCGAGAGTCGTACCAATACTGTCCGCCACCAGCGCGCGAGTGGTCAGACTGTAAGTGTATTCTCATCGCCAGTTTAGTTGCAAACGATTGGCCGCAGCCGTTGTGCGCACAGCCGTGCCGTTTGGGTACCGGTGCTGTCGGTGGCGACGAGTGGACAGTCAACCGAACACCACTAACGCCGGGCGCCGTTGTCTTGTGCATAACCCTCTGGTGTGCGATTAGCTTGTATTCAATGGTAAACTGAAGACCACAGCCGCCGATACGGCAAATATGAGTTGTCGGCAAATCAATGACAGTTTGGCTGGTAGTCGGCAGCGGGTTATCGGCGGACGTGTGACCAGTATTTACATTAATACTATTGTTTGTGATAAATAAGTGACAATTAATTAGTATTTTAATTGAGTTGGGATTTAAACAGTACTTAAGGCACGGATTGTTGTCCACGAGTGAAGTGTTGGACATTTGTTTGTCACGGAGTGGTGTAAGTGTTTGGCCGGTGTTTACCGCCGGTATTGTGTCCACGATTTCGATATCAGTGTCTGAATCGCTAAATATTATGAGAAAAACATACAAACAATTTAATCCATGATTTATTATGGATTATTATGGATTATAAATACACCACATACTCATCGCACGTGTTGTCCAGCGATTGGTTGTCGGGACTGGAAGTGGATGTGATTGTCGGCACCATTGGTGGGACAGCCGTAGTGGCCACTGACTGCTGCTGTTGACTGTCATCTGTGGCTGTTGTCGACTGGTCTCTGGCATCGGTTGAGCTAAAAATCGGTTCCCGAGGAGTGATGTATTCGACGGCATGTTTGCGGTGTTTGTGTGCATCCAATAGTGATTGAGTGGCGAAACTTTTGTGACATTCATTGTAATCGCATTTATACGGCTTTTGGCTGACGGCAAACAACTCTAGGATTGACTGATAAGTCGTCGGAAGACTGGTTTGAAAGACACAAAGAGTTGTGACAATTGAACGCATGGTTTGTCACAATCCATACAAACCTATCACTCGATGACATCCACAACAATATGAAGACAACACTCACGAAGACATCACTACTTGTGTCCACACAAACGTCTAATTCAAGTCTAAATCAATTAATAGTTTGTTATTAATTGCAAACAAAACAACACGTGATTCACATGTTTTCAATGCAAAACTTTTGAATCGTTAATAAATAACAACTCATTATTAATGCTATAAATTAAGTCCCCTTTCAATACAAATCAATAGTAAAAGTTAACGTTTATTGTTGACGTAATTTATTATATACAATAATACAGTCTACACTAGATATAATGCACACTCTGTGCACACAAAGAATAGATTGTAAAATACATTAATTTTTAAACATAATTACTTTAATCACTAATATTATTGATATAATTAAATGAGATTTGTATTAAATTGTTGTAATATTTATGCAAAACTATATATTTTAACATAAAATTCTTAATTTCTATTAAAATTCAAACTCAAAATGAGATCTAATTATAACTGAATTCCGGGGAAAATAATCGGTTTATAAAATGTTTGTCCAAAGAGTATAATCTTTATGCTATAAAAAGCCAATGATAACCAACTCATACAGTATGTGCTAAACAGGGTATTCAGTGTTGGTATTTAGGGCCCACTCACTTGTTAGAGTGATTTAGGAACAAGGTCATTGTATCAATATCTTGATCTTGGTACAAACTACAAGTATACTAAAGTACCACAACTTATGGACCATAAGTATTGCTGTTTTCACTATAAGTTTCTATTAATGTTTTAAATTATTGGTTTAATTATAACGATATTTATAAATTATTATTAGATATGTGGAAAATTAAATTGTTTTTAAAACTAAATTGTATTAATATTTTAACAGATGTTCACTAATTCTGTTATAATTTATAATATTTTAACAACTATTTTATGAGATCAATGCTTTCGTCGATCAAATATACGATTGAAAATTGATTTTTCACATATCGTTGTGCAAAAGTGCGCCAAATATTGTACTAAATTAAGTGTTTAAAAGTTTATTTTGTTTAAACAAAATGTGTTCAAAATTAATGAGTGTTTCGTTGATTGAAATGAAGAGTAAATTAAATGCAATGAAG